CAAGTGATGCTCTTGCCTCAGCCTTCCAAGTAGCTGGGACTACAGGCACATGCCACCACACGTGCTAATTTCTGTGTTTGTTTTTTGTAGAGATGTCTTGCCATGTTGTCCAGGCTGGTATTGAACTTCTTGATTCATACAATCCTCCCACCTCCACCTCCCAAAGTATTGCGATTACAGGCATGAGTCACCACACCTGGCCAAGATTTTACATGATCATGTCATCAACAAACAAAGGCAATTTTACTTCTTCCCTTTCTTTTTTTTCTTTTTTAATTTTTATTATTTTCTTCTTTTCACTTCTTCCCTTTCTTATTTGGAGGCCTTGTATTTTTTTTCTTGCCTAATTGCCCTGGCTAGGATTTTCAGTACTATATTGACTAGAAATGGTGAGAGAGTGCGTATCCTTTTTTTTTTCTGATCTTAGCGAAACGACCTTCAAATTTTCACCCAGTTGAGCATGGTGTTAGCTGCAGTCTTGTCATATATGGCCTATTTGTGTTGAGGGACATTCCTTTTATGAGTAATTTGTTGAGAATGTTTGTCATGAAAGGATGTTGAATTCTGCAAATGCTTTTTCTGCATCCATTGAAATGATCATATGGTTTCCTTTGTGGTGATGAATTTTACCCTCACCCACACCCTTTATGATCAGGTTCCTCATTTCAAGGTTGACTGGAGTTAAATGGGCAATTAGCACCACTATCTGGTTAAATGAATGCTATTCCTTTTTTTAATAATTCCAATCCCTCAGGAGGAAGGAACATGACTTTTGATTAGCATCCTACCTTAATAGTTGATCGCAAAGTGCACTTCTTTTTTTTCTTTTCCTTTCTTGTACTTAGATTTGTTTGTCTTTATACCATTGCTTCTCATCTTGTGGTCTGAAAGTATGCCCATCATACATGCCCATTATGTCCATTACAGGGTAACAGTAAAACCTTGCTCCAAGGGAGAGAAACCTGCATCCAGACTTGCTACCCAGTGCCTAAAATTAGGGTCGGGCCTGGCCTCACCCGCTCAATGAAATGAGGCAGAACAGAGTTGTGCTAGCTGCTCCCTGGGGTTCTAGCTTATTGGAAGCTCTGGCTTCAGCTATTCTAGGAGGCACCATCCACCTTGCCTTCTACATCATTGTTTTCTATGTAAATGAATCTCCTAGAGGAAAAGAAAATTCACTCTGAGTAAAATTAAAATAATAGAACCAAAAATGACTTTTCAAAAGACTATATATAAAGGAATAATATGCACACTAATGAAAAAGAAATTGCAAGATAAATTAGAAATTTTGGAAAGAAAAAATATTGTCATTACAATAAAAATCAAAAGGATTCCCAGACTGGAAAGAGTTGGATAGAATCAGTCATCTAAAATATAGTGCTGAGGCATTCACCCAGAATGCAGCACCTAGAAATAAAAAGAAAAATCTATGAAATCACAAGTCAGAGAGGTGAGAGAGAGTCTGAGACTCCAAAATACTTCAGAGAGGAGTTTCTGAAGAAGAGAATTAGATGGAATGGTGGAGAAACAATATATGCGGAGACACTGGTTGAGAATTTTCCAGATATGAGAAAAGGTCCTGAGTCATCCAATCAAAGTACACAGCTGAAGGTAAATAAAGAAACCTACACCAGACACATGTAATGAAGTTATAAAATATCAAAAAGAAAGAAAATCATGACTGGGTGCATGGTTCATGCCCATAACCCCAGCACTTTGGGAGGCCAAGGGGGAAGGATTCTTTAAGGTCGGGAGTTTGAGACCAGCCTGGGCAACATAGGGAGACCCTGTCTCTCCAAAAAATAAATAATGATAATAATAAAAATAAGCTGGTTGTGGTGGTGTGTGCTTGTGTCCTAGCTACCCTGGCAGCTGAGATGGGAGGATAGTTTGAGTCCACGAGTTTGAGGCTGCAGTGAGCTGTGATCAGACCACTGTACTCCAGCCTGGGCAACAGAAAAAGACTATCAAAAAAAAAAAAAAAAAAAAAAAAAAAAAAAAAAAAAAAAAAAAAAAAAAAGAAAAAAGAAGAAAGAAATGCTGAACACAGTGGCTCACACCTATAATCCCAGCACTTTAAGAAGCTGATGGAGGACTGCTTGAGCCCAGGAATTCAAGATGAGCCTGGGCGACATAGGGAGACCCAGTCTCTACCAAAAACAAAAAACAAAAAATCTGGCTGCAGTGGCACACATCAGTGATCCCAGTATGCAGGAGGCTGAGGTGTGAAGATTCCTGGGTCCCAAGAGGTCAAGGCTGCAGTGAGCAGTAATCACGCTACTTCACTGCACACCATTCAGCCTGAGTGACAGAGTGAGACTCTCTCTCTAAAAAAAAAAAAAAAAGAAAACCAATAATAATAAATTTTTAAAAGAAGAAAATTCATTATGTTTATCATAAAATAATATTAATCACCATCAAAACAATTAAGAGCAAGACTTAAGATTAATATGTGAAGTTGGCAGGTATATTGGATATATTCATTTATTTTCATGCTCTCAGGCAGATCCATATTTGGTAGAATGCTTCCAAAATGCTATTTTCAGCTGGGTACAGTGGCTCACACCTGTAATCCCAGCACTTTGGAAGGCTGAGGTGGGCAGATCACGAGGTCAAGAGATTGAGACTATCCTGGTCAACATGGTAAAACCCCATCTCTACTAAAAATACAAAAATTAGCTGGGCGTGGTGGCGCGTGCCTGTAATTGCAGATGCTCGGGGGGCTGAGGCAGGAGAATCACTTGAACATGGGAGGCAGAGTTTGCAGTGAGCTGAGATTTCGCCACTGGACTCCAGCTTGGGCAACAGACTGAGACTCCATCTCAAAAAAAAAAATGCCATTTTCATCATTGAACACTTACTTGTCAGGGATTCAGTATGACTATGTTCTTCTTCACTATGTTTTAGAATGAAGAAGCAGTACGACGTCTCATCTGGGAAAAGAATCTAAAGTTTGTGATGCTTCACAACCTGGAGCATTCAATGGGAATGCACTCATATGATCTGGGCATGAACCACCTGGGAGACATGGTAGGTACATTACAAAGAATCCCACTTTCATATCTGGGTAAGCATCATTTCCTTTCTATCTCCTCAAAAGCAATTTGAAGGTAAACAACAACAAAGGAATGTTTAGTACCAAGTTGGAAGGCAGAAGAATTTAAGAACATAAGAACGTGTACAGAAATTCTTACTTAGCTCCACTTTGACTGCTTTCTTTAACAAATCTCTTCTGTAGAGGAAATTTTAAACTCACAGACTACCATTGTTTTATTTCTTTTATAAATTCTAGAAACTACCGCCTAAAGACTATCCACAGGCTTTTAGCTTTTATAGTAAGTTGCCATACTTATTTAAGTCTAGATTGACAATTTAAAATGGTCCATCTGCTTTCTGCTTTCTTTTTTTGAGACGGAATCTTGCTCTATCACGAGGCTGGAGTATAGTGGGGCGATCCCGGCTCACTGCAACTTCTGTTTTCCGGTTTCAAGCAATTCTCCTGCCTCAGCCTCCTGAGTAGCTGGGATTACAGGCACGCACCAACATGCCCAGCTGATTTTTTGTGTTTTTAGTAGAGACGAGGTTTCAGCATGTTGGCCAGGATGGTCTCCATCTCTTGACTTTTTGATCCGCCCACTTCAGCCTCCCAAAATGCTGGGATTACTGCTGTGAGTCACCGTGCCCGGCCCCATCCGCTTTCTTAATGGGAGCATGTGGGTATTTAAAATCACAAATAATATCCTATTGGTTTTCAGATTCTGTTCTGTCCTCTAAAACTTTACCACTGTGGCCAAAGTGAACAGGAGAACACCCTAGGTAGACTAAATTCTTTCTTAAATGCAGGAATCTCCTTTGTAATTCCTTGTCATATGGGAAACCAGTTTAGTCCACTTTTTAGACAGCCCTTTTATGAAATTCTGCCTTGCTTTGAAACAAAAATCTCGCTCCCTATAACTTCTGGTTTTTACCATTCTCTTTTTCTCCTTCTCCATGAGGGTGCCTAACTGGGATGCTAGTGGCAAGTGTGAAAGTAAACAAACATGGATAATTCACCCCACCAGCTCCTAATGGAACCTATGCCGGTCACAACGATTACTGATTTTTCTCAGTTTTTTATTCCATGTCAGTTTTAAAATATATTCACAGTTACAGTTATTAGGATATCGGAAAGAAGGATAGGCTGTGTGTGGTGGCTTATGCCTGTAATCCCAGCACTTTGGGACGCCGAGGCGGGTTGATCACCTGAGGTCCGGAGTTTAAGACCAGCCTGTCCAACATAGAGAAAGCCCATCATCCTAAAAATACGAAATTAGCCAGCTGTGGTGGTGTGCGCCTGTAATCCCAGCTACTCGGGAGGCTGAGGCAGCAGAATTGCTTGAATCCAGGAGGTGGAGGTTGCAGTGAGCCAAGATTGCACCATTGCACTCCAGCCTGGGCAATAAGAGTGAAACTCTGGTGAAAGAAGGAAGGAAGGAAGGAAGGAGAAAGAAAGAGAGAGGGAGGGAGGGAGGGAAGGAAGGAAGAAAAGAAGGAAGGAAGGAGATATACAGTCATGGGCCATATACATTTTGGGCATTGATAAACCGCATATGCCATGGTGTTACTTTAAGATTATAATAGAGCAGAAAAGTACCTCTTGCCTAGCTAGTGATGTTGTAGCCATCCTAGCGATGTAGCACAACACACTTGTTTCCCAACACACCAGTAATCCCAACACTTGTTTGTGGTGATGCTGCTGTAAATAAACATATTGCTCTGCCAGTGGTATAAAAGTATAGCACATAAAATTATGCACAGTACGAAATGCTTAATAGTAATAAATGACTACATTACTGGTTTATGTATTTACTATACTATAATTTTAATTGTTATTTTAGAGTGCAGGCACACTTAAAAAAAGTTAACTGTAAAACAGCCTCAGGCTGGTCCTTCAGGAGGTATCCAGTAGAAAACATTGTTATTAGAGGTGACAGCTCCATGCGTGTTATTGCCCCTGAAGACCTTCCAGTGGGACAAGAGGTGGAGATGGAATACAGTGATATTGATGATCCTGACCTTGTATAGGCCTAGGCTAATGTGTGTAGGTGTGTGTATTTTAGTTTTTAACAAAAAAGTTTAAAAGTTTTAAAAAATTAAAAATCGAAAAAAGCTTACAAAAGAAGGCTATAAAGACGAAAATATTTTCGTACAGCTATACAATGTGTTTGTATTCTAAGGTGAGTATTACTATAAAAGACAAAACATTTAAAAATTAAAAGTTTATTAAGTAAAAACGCTGTAGTAAACTAAGGTTAATTTATTAGTGAACAAAGAAAGAAAAATTAACAAATTCAGTGTAGCCTAGTGTACTGTGTTTATAGTCTCCAGTAATGCCCTGGGCCTTCACATCCACTCACCACTCACTCACTGACTCACCCAGAGTGACTCCAGTCATTTCACGATAAATGCGCTATATAGGGGTACCATTTTTACTTTTTTTTTTTTTTTTTAGATGGAGTTTCACTCTGTTGCCCAGGCTGGAGTGCAGTGATGCAATCTCGGCCCACTGCAACCTCCACCTCCCAGGCTCAAGCATTTCTCCTGCCTCAGCCTCCCAAGTAGCTGGGATTACAGGCGTACACCACCACACCCGGCTAATTTTTGTATTTTTAGTAGAGACAGAGTTTTACCATGTTGGCCAGGCTGGTCTCCAACTCCTGACCTTAGGTGATCTGCCCACCTTGGCCTCCCAAAGTGCCGGGATTACAGGGGTGAGCCACTGCCCCCAGCCCCCATTTTTACTTTTTATACTGTGTTTTCAATGTACCTTTTCTATGTTTAGCTATATTTAGATACACAAGTACTTCGTATTGTTCTACAGATGCCTACAACCTTCAGTACAGCACCATGCCATGCAGGTTTGTAGCATAGGAGCAGTGGGCCCTACCATACTCCCTAGGTATGTAGGAGCTGATACTCTCTAGGTTTGTGTAAGTACACACTATGGTGTTTGCAAAATGACAAGATCAACTAACGATGCATTTCTCAGAACATATTCCAGTCATTAAATGATGCCTGACTGTATATTTGCTTTGTAGACCAGTGAAGAAGTGATGTCTTTGATGAGTTCCCTGAGAGTTCCCAGCCAGTGGCAGAGAAATATCACATATAAGTCAAACCCTAATCAGATGTTGCCTGATTCTGTGGACTGGAGAGAAAAGGGGTGTGTTACCGAAGTGAAATATCAAGTGAGTATTACCATCCCAAGCCTCTGAACCCTAGGTAGAGCTCTCTTTAAATGCTTAGTTTAGCTACAGAATTTGACAGTGAATCTTACAGTCCCACATGTTACTTTCTAATTATTTTTGTTATTCTTGTCTTCCCAACTAAATTATAAGTTGCTTAAGGGCAAGGATCACATATTATACTTTATTTATACAGTTGGCTCTCTATATCCACAGGTTCCACATCTGCAGATTCCACCAACTGTGGATCAAAAATATCCAGAAAAAAAATAAAATAAAAAATAGGCCAGGCACGGTGGCTCATGCCTATAATACCAGTACTTTGGGAGGCTGAGGCAGGCGGATCACCTGCGGCCAGGAATTCGAGACCAGCTTGGCTAACATAATGAAACACCATCTCTACTAAAAATACAAAAATTAGCTGGGATTGGTGGCACGTGCCTGTAATCCCAGCTACTTGGGAGGATGAGGCAGGAGAATCACTTGAACCTGGGAGGCAGAGGTTGCAGTGAGCTGAGATCTCACCTCTGCATTCCAGCCTGAGCAAGAGTGAGACTCCATCTGAAAGAAAGAAAGAAGGAAGGAAGGAAGGAAAGAAAGAGAAAGAAAGAAAGAAAAAAAAAAGAAAGAAAGAAAGAGAGAGAGAGAGAGAGAAAGAAAGAAAGAAAAGAAAGAAGAAAGAAAAAGAAACAAAAAGAAAGAGAAAGAAAGAAAGGAGAAGAAGAAGAAGGAGGAGGAAGGAAGGAAGGAAGGAAGGAGGAAAGAAAGAAAGAGAGAAAGAGAGAAAGAAAGAAGGAAAGAATATGGGAGGGCTGGGTGTAGTGGCTCACGCCTGTAATCCCAGCACTTTTCCAGGTCAAGGGAGGCAGATCACTAGAGGTCAGGAGTTCAAGACCAGCTTGGCCAACATGGTGAAACCCTGTCTCTACTAAAAATACAAAAATTAGCCGGGTGTGGTGGCAGGAATCCCAGCTACCACTGGGATTACCTCCCAGGTAATCCCAGCTACCTGGGAGGACGAGGCAGGAGACTCACTTGAACCTGGGACAGAGGTTACAGTGAGCTGAGATCGCACAACTGCATTCCAGCCTGGGCAATAGAGTGAGACCCTATCAAAAAAAAAAAAAAAAAAAAGGCATATAGGAGGATGTGTAGGTTATATGCAATACTCAGTCGTTTATATAAGGGACTTAAATATTCTTGACTTTTGGTATACTCAGGAGTCCTGGAACCAATTCCTTGTTGATACTGAGGGCCAACTGCATTCCCTACAGTGGTTTTTTGTTTTTTCTTTTGAGACAGGGTCTCCCTCTGTTGCCCAGGCTGGACTGCAGTGGTGCAATCTAGACTTACTGCAACTTCTGCCTCTTGGGCTCAAGGGATCCTCCCACCTCAACCTACAGAGTGACTACAGGCACACACCACCACACCCTGCTTTTTTTTTTTTTTTTTTAGTAGAGGTGGGTTTTGCTATGTTGCCCAAGCTGGTCTCAAGCTCCTGAACTCAAGTGATCTTTCCACCTTCGCCTCCCAAAGTGTTGGGATTAGAGGCATGAGCCCCTGCATTCTGGCCCCACAGTGCTTTTCTAAGTGGTCATAGAGCCACCTACTTAGACAAATACTGAACTAAGCAAATAGGTGTTTAAGACAGACGTTTACTGCTCGTGTTACCCTTTGACTGCACTGGACTCTCCGACAAGCCAATTGCTTGAGAAGCGGTGTTGTGTGAGAGAACCCTGGTGATCAGGGAGTTTCTCTCCCCAGTTTATTTGTGAATTTCAGAGTTGAAGGAGCAGAAACAACTAGAGCTAGAGTGGTCTATAAATTGTGCCACTCAAGTTAATTCATGGCTAGTCTTGAACTGTTAGCATATGAAATATGTGCCTTATAAAATCATTGTTCCTATGCTGTTGTATTTTCCTTAGTTTGCTTGTTTTAAAAAATCTGCAAAAATCCTAAATTAGTTAGAGATAAAACACATGTGTCACCATTGAAGTCAGGATAAGTGAGAAGAATCAGAGCATTCTGAGCAACTACCCCAGCTTGTGATGAATGAAGAAAGTAAAAATGTGTTAGGAAGTAAATCATGGTCAGGCACAGTGGCTCATGTCTGTGATTCCAGCACTTTGGGAAGCAGAGGCAGGAAGATCACTTGAGCCCAGGAGTTAGAAACAAACCTAGGCAATATAGTGAGGCCCTATCTCTACAAAAAATAAAAATTATCCAGGCGTGGTGCACACCTGTAGTCCCAGCTACTTGCGGGGCTGACATGGGAGGATTGCTTGAGCCTGGGAGGTTGGAGGTTATAGTGAGCCATGATTGCACCACTGCACTTCAGTCTGAGTGGAAATCCTGTCTCAAAACAAAACAAAACAAAAAGAAGGAAAGGTACTGCTAATCTCTTATTCTTTTCCACCTACATATTTTTCTTTCAACTAGTTTTGGATTTCTTACCGGAAGTTCTCTAAAATAACAGCTTTAGAAGACCCAATAAACTACATATTTAGATGTTAACTTTGAGTAAGTTAATGAACTCCTTTCTTTGGGTGCTTGCATTTTAATGAGCAATTTTGCTTCAACCAAAAGCAATGTCAATTTGCCTTCTTTGGGTGGAGAGCAAGGTGGGAGGAGGGGAGGAGAGAGAAAGAGAACAATTATGATGGGGCTCTGGACATTTTTCCCCATTTAAAACTAAAGCAGATTTGCCTTTTTCTGTTTGTTCATGCCTCCTTGTAAAATATTTTTGATCAAAAAAATTCTGAGGATAATAAGGTTTGAAAAATGCCAACCTAGGATTAAACTTCTTATGTTTCAGTCATCATTTGACAGGAGAAAGGGTATTTTAGGTCAAGGAAATCATCCTAGCTTCTCTCAAATCTCATTACTGTAGGCACCTATCTCCCTTACTTACAGGTGAAAATAGGTGTGATTTGGTACATGTTCAGTGAGTATTGTTTCCTAATATATTTGAATATGACCATTATGCTCTGAGCTTGGCCAGCTGCAAATCTCTTTCAAGGTTGGACCTTGCCTAGATAACAATCAAGTGTTTAGTCTTCATTCCCATTGTCAAAGGCAGAAGAAAACTGTAGCAGGGGAGCTGTTCCTGGGAACTAGGGACAGAGCTGATGTAATTGGTCGTTGTCCAGTTTGTTATAGAAGTCATTTCAAATGATTTTCTGTGATTTGCGTTTGTGACCCTGTCTGTTTCAGGGTTCTTGTGGTTCTTGCTGGGCTTTCAGTGCTGTGGGGGCCCTGGAGGCACAGCTGAAGCTGAAAACAGGAAAGCTGGTGTCTCTCAGTGCCCAGAACCTGGTGGATTGCTCTGAAAAATATGGAAACAAAGGCTGCAATGGTGGCTTCATGACAGAGGCTTTCCAGTACATCATTGATAACAAAGGCATCGACTCAGAAGCTTCCTATCCCTACAAAGCCACGGTGCGTCACAGGCAAATTTTTTGTGTTGCTACATGACCTTATGTTATCCATTGACCGATGGCAGTGGGCTTGCCACCACACCAATTGCTTGAGAAGCAGTATTATGTGTGAGATAAAACCCTGAAGAGGAATTTTTTTTTTTTTTAGACAGTTTCACTCAGTCACTCATGCTGGAGTGCAGTGGCACAGTCTCGGCTCACTGCAACCTCCGCCTCTTGGGTTCAAGTGATTCTCCTGCCTCAGCCTCCTGAGTAGCTGGGACTACAGGTCCCCGGCACCACGCCCGGCTACTTTTTTGTATTTTTAGTAGAGACGAGGTTTTACTGTGTTAGCCAGGATGGTCTTCATCTTCTGACCTCATGATTTGCCCGCCTTGGGACAGATGAATCCCAAAGTGCTGGGATTACAGGCGTGAGCCACCTCGCCCAGCCAGGAATTCTTAAATTCTCAGAAGTTCTCTTTCTGATGAAGTACTCTTCTTAATATATCATTAGACAAAAAGTAGCATTCATGCTTAAAAACGGATTTTAATGGCCGGGCACAGTGGTTCACACCTGTAATCCCAGCACTTTGGGAGACCGAGGTGGGTGAATCACCTAAGGTCAAGAATTTGAGACCAGCCTGGCCAACATGGTGAAACCCCATCTCAACCAAAAATACAAAAATTAGCTGGGCGTGTTGGAGCACATCTGTGGTCCCAGCTATTTGGGAGGCTGAGGCAGGAGAATCACTTGGACTCAGGAGGCGGAGGTGCAGTGAGCCAATATCAGGTCACTGTACTCCAGCCTCAGCAACAGAGTAAGACTCAGTCTCAAAAAAAAAAAAAGAACAGATTTTAAGCAAACTATCCTTAAAATTATTTCAGTGTATTTAAGCCTTTTCTTCTGAAGCCTCCCATGCTCAACCTTATTCTCAGATCATTAACGACTTCATTCTTCCACCCACTGAGAAGCTAAATAATGCTTTCTTCTTCCTCGCAGATTTATTATATGTTTTATCAAATGATATTATAAAGATTATAACAATAACCTAAGGATTATGTCATGTTACAGAAGATTTTTTAAAGATAAAAATATTACTCAAAAACCTTCTACCTTAACCACTATTATTTTGGTTTATTTCTTTCAAGTTATCTCCCTGTTAAGCACTTACAAAATGTAGTTGTCCAGGTGTGATGGCTCATGCCTGTGATCTTAGCACTTTGGAAGGTCAAGCTGGGAGGCTTGCTTGAACTTAAGAGTTTGAGACCAGCCTGTTCAACATTGCGAGACCTCACCTCTACTAAAAATAAAAAAAAAATTGGCCAAGCATGGTGGTGTGCACCTTCGTAGCAGTTTCAGCTACTCAAGAAGCTGAGGTGGGAGAATCACTTGAGCCCAGGAGATGGAGGCAACAGGCAGCAGTGAGCTATGATTGTGCCACTGCACTCCAGCCTGGACAATGGAGTGAGAGCCTGTCTTAAAAAAATAAATAATATAAATAACTAAATACAAAACATAGTTGTATATACAACAAACATAAATTTGTAACTTTCCTTTTCCCACTTGAAATACACTTGTGTTTCCCATATTATATGGTCTTTATATACCATCATTTTAACTGCAGATCATCTTGCAGGCATCAAAAAGATTTTAAATCTCTCATCTAGAGTTTATTATCTCTATGTAATATTTCCCTACAGTCTACCTAGAGTCTGAGGGGACATTGTCCTGGCAAATTTTGCATCTATGAAGATGTTCACAATTTGAAAAAATAGAATAGTTCTGTATTTCCCCCATTATTGATGAAACCTGGGATTGTTAGGATTTGGAAGATTTGCAAAGAAAGGAGCCTTAGACACATGAAAAAATTAAGGAAAGAAGACATATTTAAAATCCAGGCTATGGATACTGGTGATTTATAAAGGAGTTGAAGTATACTTCTTTATCTGGTTTATACTTCTTTTTGCAGGATCAGAAATGTCAATATGACTCAAAATATCGTGCTGCCACGTGTTCAAAGTACACTGAACTTCCTTATGGCAGAGAAGATGTCCTGAAAGAAGCTGTGGCCAATAAAGGCCCAGTGTGTGTTGGTGTAGATGCAAGTCATCCTTCTTTCTTCCTCTACAGAAGTGGTAAAATAAATAAATAAAAAACAATAAGAATTTAAAGAAAGAAGGCCGGATGCAGTGGCTGTAATCCCAAGACTTTGTGAGGCTGAGGTCGGGAGTTCAAGACCAGCCTGACCAACATGGAGAAATCCTGTCTCTACTAAAAATACAAAATTAGCCAGGCATGGTGGTACATATGCCTGTAATCCCAGCTACTCAGGAGGCTGAGACAGGAGAATTGCTTGAACCTGGGAAGCAGAGGTTGTAGTGAGCCAAAATCGCACCATTGCACTCCAGCCTGGGCAACAAGAGTGAAACTCCATCTCAAAAAAGAAAAAAAAAGAATTTAAAGAAAGAAAGAATATTCTTTCTTTCTTGGTGGTTAAGCATGGTGGTTCATGCCTGTAATTCTGACGCTTTGGAAGGCTAAGGTGGGAGGATTGCTTGAGCAATCTAGGAGTTTGACACCAGCCTGGGCCACATTGGGAGACCCTTATCTCTACAAAAAATAAAAATAAAAATTAGCTGGGTATGGTGGCACACACTTGTAGTCTTTCCTACTTAGGAGGCTGAGATGGGAGGATCGCTTGAACCCAGGAGTTTGAGGTTGCGGTGAGGTATGATTATACCACTGTACTCCAACCTGGGCAACAGAGTGAAGACCTGTCTCTAAAAAACAAGGAAGAAAAAAAGAAAGAAAGAAAGAAGGAAGAAAGAGAGTGGGGAAGGGAGGGAGGGAATTGTAAACCTCTTGAACCAGCATCTGCTGGCTTCAGACTTTTCTTCTGTAGCTTCCTCACCTCTCTCAGCCTTCTTACAACAGAAGAGAGTTAGGCTTCTTGTTCTGGATTAGGTTTTGGCATAAGGGCATGCTTGGCAGGTTTACTCTTTTATCTAGTCCACTGAAATTTTCTCCATATCGGCAATAAGACTGTTTCATTTTCTTGTCATTTGTGTGTTCACCAGAGTGGGCATTTTTAATTTCCTTTAAGCAGTTTTCCTTTAAATTCACAGCATGGCTGACTGTTTGGTACAAGAGGCCTAGGCTAGGTTCTGGCCTGTCTTGGCTTTCAACATGCCTTTCTCAATAAGCTTAATTACTTCTAGCTTTTGATTTAAAGTGGGAGATATGCAACTCTTCTTTTTACTTGAATACTTAGGAGCCATCATAGGGTTATTATTTGGCATAATTTTAATATCATTGTGTCTCAGGGAATAGGGAGGCCTGAGGAGAGAGACAGGAGTGTAGCCAGTCTGTGGATCAGTCAGAACACACACAACATTTGTGGGTTAAGTCTGCTATCTTATATAGGTGTGGTTTGTAGCTCACCCCCAAAATTATAATATTAACATCAAAGATCATTGATCACGGATGACCATAACAGATATAATAATGATGAGAAAGGTTGTGAGAATTACCAAAATATGGTACAAGGATATAACATGAGCACATGTTTTTGGAAAAATGGTACCAATAGACTTGCTGAATGTAGAATTGCCATAAACCTTCAATTTGTAAAAAATGCAGTATCTGGCTGGGTGCAGTGGCTCATGCCTGTAATCCCAGCGCTTTGGGTGGCCAAGGTAGTATCTACGAAGCACAATAAAGCAAAGCACAATAAAATGAGATATGCCTGTATACAGACAGAATTACAATAACTGATTGTTTGCAAGTTTAAAAATAGGAAGAAAACAAAAAATAAAAGAAAAAACTTAGAAAAAAATGGTGTGCTTATCAAAGAAGATTTCTGGGGGAACTATGATTGGAGTGTTGCTAAGCTTGACAAGAATACTGAAAATATAGCATTGATGGCAAATAATTATGAGCCCTAGTTTACACATGAGTGTGTACGTCCTTAACTTTTTTAATTAACCTTGCTATGTATCCAAAGAAGGCTAATAAAAAGTAATACCATTTTTAAATGTCCTTTATTATCCTATAGCATTCACTTTTTTCCCACCCATATTTGATTCTCAGGTGTCTACTATGACCCAGCCTGTACTCAGAAAGTGAATCATGGTGTACTTGTGATTGGCTATGGTGACCTTAATGGGAAAGAATACTGGCTTGTGAAAAACAGGTAATATATTTATACTTTATATTTAATTGGAATCAGGAATTTGAGGGAGTTTCAGTAAACACTTTCTTATGATTTTGATGATGATGATGATCACGATATTGACAATGATGAACTTTATAGCTTCTCACAAAGTGACATTCTAAATTATTCAGTGCCCCCATCTTTTCACCTACTATTCTGCCTTCATCACTTTGTTTTCATGGTTTATTTTCTGTAGCACTTCTCTGATTATTCCTTCCCAGCCTCTCTTATGAACCTATTCCTCTGTTTAGCCCCAAAATGTTGGTATTTTCCCAGGGCTCTATCCTCTGCCCATTCCTCTTCCTATTCTACTTTTTCTAGGGTGCCACAATTCCACTCTTAGGACTCTAGCTATAACCTATATATTCCAGTGGCTTTCGAATCTCTAGCTCTAGCTCTGACATCTTCCCAGAACTTCAGACTTACGTGGACACATTCACTTACACATATCTTAGCCTCTCCAAACTCAATACGTCCAAATAATTCAGGACTCTCTCCCCCATATTGTTCCTCCTTCGGAATTTCCCGTATCAGTAAGGGGCCACACAGCATAGTCAGCCGGTAAGATATGATGGATTCATCTGAGATCTCCCCAAGTCCAACCAAGCAACCAATTAGTCAAACCATTCTACCTCATCTGTGTCCTTGATCCTGTCCCTTCTCTGTTTCTTCTCTTGTGGCTCTTGTTCAGACATCTCTGGTGTGGACTATTCTGGTGTGGACTATTCTGGTGTGGATCAGTGCTGTGCCCTTCTGACTGGTCTCCTTTACTCTCTCTTTTCTTCCCCTTTACCCTCAAATCCCTCTTTCATACTGCTGCCGAACTGATTTGTCTAAAATGTGAATAAGTCTGGGCTTATAACTCTTCTACTGAGTCTCATTTGGTATAAAGTTAATGCTCCCTGACAGAGGACATGTCCTGTAGCTGTGCTCCCTTGCCAGCCTCACCTCCTGGCATTTGTTGGCTCCTGCTTTTCACTCTGGTTATGTTGTGCTACCCACAGTTGCAGTTCCCATACATTCCACTTTATCTGTAATGCCTTCCTTCATATCTGGGTTCCCTTTGCCTGGAACATCCTGTCTTCTCTTTTGGTTTACGTCTCCCTTTCTTCAGAAGCAGCTCAGGCATTATCTATTCCAGAAAGGCTTGCCTGAATCCTTGGGCTGAGCAAAATGTCTTTTTTCTATGCTGCCAAAATGTCCTGTGCATGCTGGATCACAGCATTTTAGGTATCATATTTAAATTGCATATTTACCTGTCTGTCACTCCAATGTTCTATACGTGCCTTTGGGGAGATATTACGTCTTGTCTTCACATCCACAGTGCAGACTGAGTGGGTGGCACCTAAAGGCTTCTCAATACATGCATTTAACTGACATCTATATCACTCATAAACAAAAGGAACATAACTTCTAGAGGTAAAAGACAGAGGATACATGAAGATTGAGTCTTTGGGGCACACCTGGAGTTTCTCTTTGTGCTAGTTTGCTATGACTGCCATAACACAAAGTGCCAGGAGCTGAGCAGCTTAAATAACAGAAATGTATGTCTCCCAGTTCTGGAGGCTGGCAGTGTAAGATCAAGGTGTTGGCAAGGTTACTTCCTTCTCACATTGTGAGGAAGAAAATGTTCATGGACACAGGAAGAAAAAACACTATATGATCTTACACATGGGATCTAAAAAAGTCAAACTTACAGAAACAGACAGTAGAATGATAGTTGCCAGTGACTGGAGGCTGGGGAGATGAGGAAATGTTGATCAAAGAGTGTAAACTTTCAGGTAGAAGATAAACAAGTTCTGGGAATCAAAGGTACAGCGTGGGTGGAGATGGATGCGTTATTTCCTTTGATTATGGCAATCATTGCGCAATGTGCATATACTGCAAATCATCACACTGTACACTTTCAGTGTATACAATTTGTGTCAATCAAATATGTTCTTTTAATTTAAAACATATAGGTTTGATGGCTCTCCCCTAGCTTCTGAAAGTTTGCTGGTGATCTTTGACTTTCCTCGGTGTTTAAGAACCATCACCCTGACCTCTACCTTCATTTTCACATGACATTCTCCCTGTATGCATTTCTGTCTCTATTTATAATTTTACTGTTTTCCCTCTTTTTGAGACAGAATCTCGCTCTGTCACTTAGGCTGGAGTGCAGTGGGGTGATCAGTGCTCACTGCAGCTTCAAACTCCTGGGCTCAAGCAATCCTCCCACGTTAGCCACTGAAGTAGCTGGGACCACAGGCATGCACCACCACACCAGGCTAATTTTTTTGTATCTGTAGATACAGGATTTTGCTGTTTCCCAGGCTGGTCTCAAACCCCTGGGCTCAAGTGATCCTCCTGATTTGGTCTCCCAAAGCACTGGGATTATTGGTGTGAGCCACCGTGCCTGGCCAGTTTTTCCTTTTCATGAGCATCAGCCATGTTGGTTAGGACCCATGCTAATGACCTTATTTTAATTTAGTTAATTATGTCTACATCACCGCTATCTTTAAATAAGATCATATTCTGAGGTACTGGAGGTTAGGATTCCAACATGAATTTTGGGGGGATACAATGCAACCCATAACACCCCTCAAATCTTCTCAATACTTCTACTGTTACCATTATACCTCAAGCCACCATCCATCTATCTCCTGGTCTGTTGCAGTAATCTCATAACAGGTAGCTGCTTCCCTCTTGTTTGCTTACAATCAATCCTCTACACAGTAGCCAAAATTATCTTTTAAACCATAAAGTAGATTGTGTTACCCTCCTACCCCAAACCCTCTAATGGCCTTCCTTCCCACTTAAAACCCATGACCTGTAAAGCATGACATTATCTGGCCTTAGCCTGCCTCTCCAACCACCTCTCCAACTACTCTCCCCTCTCTGCCAACTCCTGGCACACTAGCCTTTTTGCTGTTTCTCAGACACGCCACGCTTATTCCCAGCTCTTTATCTAGGTCTTTGCTTCACTTGCATGTTTGTTTGTGAGGCTAAGCTTTTCCCAACCCAACCATTCCACCTAAAATTGAGCCCTGTCTCACACTTTGTATCCTTTATCCTGCTTTATTTTTCTTTATTGTATATATCATATTATATCAAGTATTTCTTTGTTTATTGTATGTTTCCCCTCTAGAACCTAGGCTTTAGAAAGACTTTGTCTCTGTAATCCTAATGCCTAGGAAAGTGTCTGGCACAGCCTAAGAAACCCTGGACTTCAGCCTATTACAAAGGAAACCGGCATCGATTTTAGAAGTCTAATAAGTTAGTAGCCTTATGATATACAAGGAGAAGGTAGGATGACCAACTTTTCCACTTTGCTAAGGGCTATTTGATGAGGCTTTCTGGGACATAGGACTTTCTTTTTAAAACCAGGACAGTCCAAGGCAAACTGGGACTGGTGGTCACCCTAGAAGAAGGCCATATATATATATATATATATATATATATATATACACACACATACACACACATATATATATATATATACACATATATATATGTGTGTGTATGTGTGTATGTGTATATATATATATATATGTTTTAAAGTAGACATACTCTACTTGAGTTCAATCAGATGGACTCATACCTGGATAATGATAAAAATAGCTACCTTCACTTAGTAAGCATTGGCTATGTACCAAATATTGTGCAAGTACTTTAAATACATTTTCTCATTTAATTTTTAAAGTAATCCTATGAGAGACATTTAATTAACAAACTTACCCAAATTTGAACAGTTTGATGAAAGAGTTATAAAATCAATAAAAATATACAACTTGGTAAGTACTGAAATTAACATTTGGAACAGACCTTGTATAGTTCTGAAGGCAAGAATTTGTCCTCACATATTTTATTTAGCTTAAGATTTTTTATCAGTTTCATGATTTAAGTGAAGTTAGCAGGACTCAGTCAAAAAGAGGTCTGAGATCTTATGCAAAATTAGGGGCAGCTGATCTTGATCTGTAAAACTGAGAAAAGTAAGTTGTTCAGATGTTGAATGGGGTCTCGGATTCCTTGGTCTCACTGAATTCATACTGCTAGTAACTAGACCCTCAATTCAATTTTCATACTAGAACTCAGGTCCAAACTCATTTCATCTAAAATTATTTATTTTATCTATTATTTAAGGCAGTGACCATAGTAAGATGTAAATTACATGACATCCTGGACGTTCTGATCTGAATTTCATTCCCCATATGACTTCACTCACAGAGATTACTACAGGGATAGACAGAGTATAAAAGTTAGAGTGGGCTTTGGAATAAAATAATCTTAGATTTGAACTCTGTCTTCACAGTTTACCATCTATGTGACATTTGGCAAGCTACTTTGCCACTCTGACCTTCTGTTTTTTTCTTTAGAAAAGAAAATAATACTAACCTCACAGAATGATGATTAAATTAGATAATTTATGTGAATCTGTTTGGCACAGAGTAAGTGCTAAATAAATGGTAGCTATTAATAATAGCCTGGCCACACAATTATTATGGCTTTTGTTATCAAACTAGGTATTAAAAGAACATTGCTACAGCCTGGGCAACATAGTGAGACCTCTTCTCTACTAAAAATAAAATATTAGCTGAGCATGGTAGTATGCACCTGTGGTCCTAGCTACTTGGAAGGCTGAGGCAGGAGGATTGCTTAAGCTCAGGAGGTCGTAGCTGCAGCCACACTCCAGCCTGGGCAACACAGTGGGACTCTGTCAAAAAAAAAGAAAACAGTGCAGCCATTGATTTATTAGAGGTGATGATGGAGTTTGAATTTTATTGTAAAGGTATGGAGAGCCATTGAATATTTCTAAGCAGTGGAGTGGCAACTAAGTGAAAGGAAGCAGAGAAAGGAGCTCATGAAAATGTTTGAGAAGGAGTGACCAGAGACAGATGAGAAAATCAGAACATAGTAGTGTCTTAAGGCCAACAGACCAGTGAGGTGGGAGTAGACAACTGTGTTAAATGATACAGAGAGATAAAAATAGGACCTGCAAATTGTCCAATGAGGGCTGATATATAGAATATGAAAGGCCTCTTAAAGCACAGTGCTTTTAAATGGTATCATTTGTCTGCCAGCAATAAACCAGCATTTCTTAGGTTCTCCACTGCATGCAAAAACACAACCTTTGAGTCCCTGAGCCAAAATTTGTAACAGCTCCCCTTTGCCTATGTAATTGAAGTACATGTTCCTCCACCTGCAGTTCTAAGCTGTTCACAGGATGGCCCCAAACCAGCTTTCTGTCCTCTTTTTCCACTATTACACTAAAGATATCCGGTTTTCCTTTCAACCACATTTCTTACACTCCAGGCACACTAGGCATTTTCTCAATTTCATGCTTTTATTTGTATCCTAGAGCACTTAATGAATTCTGCCTTGTATAATATTTACATATCTACCACTATAAAACTTCAGAATCATAAAGAGCTTTAGAAATCATTCCTCTTAAAAGGATTTTGTCAGTTTTTTCATCAGTCTTGGTAAAGTATGAAAAATAAAAATATTTTGGTGACTTTTTCATAAATCTGAATTTACTCAAAAGACTATTCTTAAAATAGAGATTATATCTTTGGATTTTTTGCTTTCTGTTAAAATGTCTTTTCTTGTACAACACGATGGTGATAGTAAGTAGTATGATTTTTCTTTATTTTCTTTTTTTGAGACAGAGTCTCACTCTGTTGCCCAGGCTGAAATGCAGAGGCACAATGTCAGTTTAATGCAACCTCCACCTCGCCTCCTGGGTTCAAGCAATTCTCCTGCCTCAGTCTTTCAAGTAGCTGGGACTCAGGCACATGCTACTACGCCCTGATAATTTTTTATTTTTAGTAGAGACGGGGTTTCACCATGTTGGCCAGGCTGGTCTCGAACTCCTGACCTAAAATGATCCACCCGTCTCGGCCTCCCAAAGTGCTGGGATTATAGGCATGAGCCACCGTGCCCAGCCAATAGTGTAGTTTTTAAATTGATAACTATGTATCAATCTGTAAAAACTTTCTGAACTCCTCTAAGTCCATGAAATCAAAAAGTGAAACACTGATCACCTCAAACCCTAATCTGACCCATGAATTCCATCTGCAGCATCTCTACCAAGTAGATTCCACTTGCTTGAACCCTTCCAGTGCCAGGTAGAAATATTTCTTTTCTTTTCTTTTTCTTTCTTTTGTTTTTGAGACAGGGTCGGGCTGGAGTGTCAGGAATGCAGTGGTGCAATCGTAGCTCACTGTAATCTCGAATCCCTGGACTCAAGTGACCCTCCCCACTTCAGCCTGCAGAGTAGCTAAGGAATAGAGCCACTATGCCTGGCTAATTAAAAAAAAATTTTTTTTGGGCTAGGCATGGTGGCTTATGCCTGTAATCCCAACACTCTGGGAGGCTGAGGTGGGTGGATCACCTGAAGTTAGGAGTTCAAGACCAGCCTGACCAATATGGCGAAACCCCGTCTCTACCAAAAATATAAAAATTAGCTGGGCGTGGTGGTGCACACCTGTAATCCCAGGTACTCAGGAGGCTGAGGCAGGAGAATTGCTCTAACCCAGGAGACAGAGGTTGCAGTGAGCCAAGATTGTGCCACTGCACTTCAGCCTGGGAAACAGTGAGACTCCGTCTCAAAAAAACATTTTTTTTGGTAGAGACAGGGTCTTGCTATATTGCCCAGGCTGGTTTCAAACTCTTGGCCTCAAACAATCCTCCCACTTCAGCTTTTCAAAGCACTTGGATTACAAGTGTGAGCCACCATGCCTGGCTCATTTTTCAATAGCTTTAATTATGAGAAAGTCTTATCTCAGCTCCACTTCTAGATCAAAAAGCTCTTTCAGAGCTGCATTTTTATTGTTTACTTTAGAATTCCCTGCTCTGTACCTTTTTCATAGTAGTCACTCAAAAATATTCCTTAATTGACATTCTCTAGAGGAATTTAAGTTTGATAGAAAATAATTACCCGTGATACCAGTATCAAAAAATTTAGAGATAAAGTCTTATAAAGGATACTAATACTCTTTCCTTAGAGAAGGCATATTTTTTAAGTAGGAGGATTAAAGAACTGGGATGGATCTTACTATAGTTTTCCTTAGGTATTAAGTCTATTCATCAATATAGCACTAAAGCTTTCCAAACCCTTATTTAAATTTGCCTGAAATCCCTAGAGAAATTATTATATTATTTCTTTCTAATTTTGTTTTATAGCCTTTCATATGTAATCACTTATAGAGGAAAAACAATAAGATAAAAAGTTGATAATATAAAAAAAAAAGTTGATAATATTATTTGGTTGTATGCATTTGTAATTTTGTATTATTTCTTTTTCTAAAGCTGGGGCAGCAACTTTGGTGAACAAGGATATATTCGGATGGCAAGAAATAAAGGAAATCATTGTGGGATTGCTAGTTATCCCTCTTACCCAGAAATCTAGAGGATCTCTTCATTTTATAACAAATCAAGAAATGTGAAGCACTTTCTCTTAATTTTTCCTGCTGTATCCAGAAGAAATAATTGTGTCATGATTAATGTATATTTACTGTACTATTTAGAAAATATAGTTTGAGGCTGGGCGTGGTGGTTCACGCCTGTAATCCCAGCACTTTAGGAGGCCAAGGCAGGCAGATCACCTTGAGGCCAGGAGTTCAAGATCAGCCTGGCTAACATGGTGAAACCCCCTCACTACTAAAACTACAAAAAACTAGCTGGGCATGGTGGTGCATGCCGGTAATCCCAGCTACTCGGGAGGTTGAGGCAGGAGAATCCTTGAACCCAAAAGGTTGAGGCTGCAGTGAGCTGAGGTCACGCCACTGCACTCCAGCTTGGGTGACAGAGTGGAGACTGTCTCAAAAAAAAATAATAATAATAATAATTTGATTTTTCATTTTTTTAACTTTTCAAATCTCAGGAAAAAGTTTGCTAAGTAAATTAGTAATGTACTATAGATAAAACTGTATAAAAATTGTTCAACCTAAAACAATCTGTCATTTCTCATTGTTTTATTGTATACTGTTTGTCTTTTTAAGACCCCTAACAGCCTTTTGTAACTTGATGGCTTAAAAGTACTTACTAAATCTGCCATTTCAAATGTCTATCATTGCCACATACCATTCTTATTCCTAGGCAACTATTGATACTCTACCCTGAAAATATTAATTGTGGTATTCTGGTGATGGGCTTTAGCAACTTTGATGGGAGAAAATATTAGGCTAAATAAAAGTAAAATTTAAAAAAAAGAAACAAAAAGAAAGAAAATATTAGGCTATAAATGTCCTAAGGGCTCAGATTGTATCTTTGCACATAAAAGGATTTAACATGTCGGGTGTGGTGGCTCACGCCTGTAATCTCAACACTTTGGGAGGCTGAGGTAGGAGGATCGCCTTGAGCTCAGGAGTTCAAGACCAGCCTGGGCAACATGGTGAGGACCTGTCTCCACAAAAATTAAAAGGAAACTAGCTAGGAGTGGCAGTTTGTGCCTATGGTCCCCGCTAAGCAGATGTCTAAGACAGGAGGATCATGTGAGCCCAGGAGGTCAAGACTGCAGTGAGCTGTGATTGTGCCACTGCACTCCAGCCTGGGTGACAGAGCAAGACCCTGTTTTTAAAAAAAGAGGATTCAATAAACGTTTTTAAATTAAATCATGTTAAAGAAAACAAATGCATAAAACACAAGCACTTTGGAAGAATTGTTTTAATGATCAACAATTTAATATACTAGTCGAAATTATTTTGACCTAGCCATCAACAATTTGACCAAGGCCTTTTCTTGGCAAATAATTGAGCCAACTGGAATAAAATAGCCGATACTCCACTGCTTATACTTTTATCTGATTCAGATGGATCTTCCTCACAAATGCTCTAGATAAGTAGATGCATCTAAGCAGGAACTTTAAATTTCTTAAGTTCATGTCATAGGCATGAACAATGTGTGGGATAATGTCATTAATGTATCCTAAACTGACCTAAACTAATTTCACTAAGTCTGGCTCCTTCTCCATAAAGCACATTTTAAGGAAGAAGATTTGCTAAATATAAAAACATAATACCATAATACATGGCTATCATAAAAAGTGTAGAGAATATTGTAGATATTATAGTTAAAAAGTATTTAGTTGATTAGTTTTCAGTTTTGTGGGGGGTTGTTTTTTTTTTCTTTTTTTGAGACAGCGTCTCCCTCTGTCGCCCAGGCTAGAGTACAATGGTGCCATCTCAACTCACTGCAACCTCTGCCTACCCAGTTCAAAAGATTCTCTTGCCTCAGCCTCCCAAGCAGCTGGGATTACAGGTGCATACCACCACGCCCAGCTAATTTTTACATTTTTAGTAGAGACAGGGTTTTGCCACGTTGGCCGGGCTGGTCTTGAACTCCTGACCTCAGATGATCCACCCACCTCGGCCTCCCGAAGTGCCAGGCATGAGCCACTTCACCTAGCCTACTTTTCAGTTTTTAACATATTTTTTGTTTTTATCCACAAGTATTTGAAAGTAGAACAAAAACATGGGTTCTTAGTCTTTAGCAATCTGATAAAGCCTATGAATGCCTTCTCAGAATCATGTTTGTAAATGCATAAAACATGTAGGATTACAAAGGAAGCCAATTATATTGAAATACAGTTATTAAAATGTTAAATATAAGTTTGTTATATGCTAATATAAATGCATTAAATAAGAGTTAATAGCTATCCTAAATTTGATGTAGTGATGAGCATAACGAAAATAGATGCAAAAAAGTAGTGTGATATGAAAATATCTGGGTTTTCTTTTGATGGTGAAGTATTGCTAATATTACTGTGGTTTATGAACTATGTTCAGAATTGAAGAAAATCCTAACTTTCAGTTAGAGGTTAGTGACAAGGTTCAGGACGCCCTACACAAAATATAGCACCTTCACATATTGAATATTTTAAGCTGGAGGCATTTGAGGAAACTGCAGAAGCAGGAAAGTGACTCTGACCTTCTCCCCAGGAGCAGCCACAAAACCTAGGAAGGATTTTCTGATCTTCCCCTGAAGTAAATCGTAAGACCCTCGTGTAAGAGGTGCTCTCCCCGCACCCAGAGAAAAGCAGCATCTTTACCTTCAAAAGCACAGGGACACAAAGAGGAATCTAAACAAAAAGGCCTGCTAAGTTTCCCCCAGTGTGTTACATTTAACTTTTCCACACTTTGCCCTATGACATTTCTCTATCACTGGCTGCTCTTCATCAAACCTACTATTAAAAAATTCAAGTTTAACTGTTTCTTTGGGACTTTATTTCCTTATGGAGGCTCTTGTGTCATGTAAAAGTTATATTAAATAAATGTGTATGCTTTTCTCTTGCTAATCTCTCTTTTGTAATAGGGATCTCAGCCCTAAACCTAGGATGGGTAGAAAGAAAGATATGTTCTCCCCTACATTAGTAAAAATAAAAATGAAAGTTTTTACTCATACAAATTCACAAATTCCCTGAATTCTATCCAAGGAAACTTTAAGTGTTGTGGCTCTTAAGTAAAGAATGCCTGAACTAAACAAGTAGAATAATGAAATATTTAATAAAAATCTTTATTGGTTGCCCAATATAAAGGGAAATTTTTAGCAATAAGTAGTTTCAAACATCTAGAGATAAATTATCTAAAAATATGTTTAAAACAAAAAAAAAAGAATTTATTCTGGAATGATTTCTAGACAGTAGTATGCTAGATGATTTGAAGAAAAAAAAATTTTTAATCCAGTTGCAGAGGCTCACACCTGTAATCCCAGCACTTTGTGAGGCTGAGGTGGGAGAATCACTTG